AAAAAAAACCAAAAAAATTCCAATTACCTCTGCAGTGGGAAGTTGATGCTGCAGGACCAATAAAAGCAGGATTTCAACCTACAAAAAACCAAAAATGGGGTATTGTAAGCAGTATATCCAAGGAAAAAACAAGTAAAACCAAAAAAAAAAAAAAAATGAAGCTGTCGACGACTGTGTTCGCTGCAACTTCCAGCAAACCTCCGATCCACGTGGTGTCGTTGCTTAGAGACGCTGGAGGCTGAACCAAAATGCAAGGCTGAACCAAAATGCAAGCTGCCGACGTCGTCGCTAGCTGGAGGCTGAACAATGCAAGGAAAATACATGCAAAAATAAATCAATCAATTGACCAAGAGAAGGGCGAACTCACCGGCACCAGCGCGGAGCGGACAACAGGGGGCGCTACAGAAGAACAACGACAGCAAGCTTCACCGGAGAAGAAACCAGATCTACCGCCGCAGAGGAAAACCAAAAATGGGGAAGAAAGGTGAGGCACGGGCGATATGAAGGAGTATATTCGACAGCCAAAGCTGTCGAATATACAAAAAAAACGATGTCGTTCCCATAAATAAACATATTCGACAGCCAAAGGCTGTCGAATATATTTGTATATTCGACAAAAAAGTTGTCGAATATGAATACTGTCGATTAAACAAGAAATTTCCATTATCATCGTCAATCTTTCTGTCGATTATGTACACATTTTCGACAGAAATGTGGTTGTCAAATATAATATTGTCGCTTATGCCGCGTTTTCCAGTAGTGTTCCCTATTTTAAACTCCAAAATAGAGTGGCATGTGGTTATTGCCACAGACAAAATGTTAAAGGCACACAAATTTAAGGTTTTTTTTTTTTTTTAAACAATTGGTTAGTGTTTGGAAACATTAACCTGTAGGTTGATTTCAATTTATTAACTAACTAGAATTTTCTTTTGCCCATGTATCGCATGGGTTGTTCTTTAATTTTTTACATTAGAACTTGCACTTTATACTATTTTTTATCAACTCTTAAATTTTATAATAATTTTTAATTAAGAGATTCTAATTAAGTAAAGAATGCGTTTAAAATTATTTTCGATAATTAGCAATTGTACTTTTTTTAAAAAATGTATAGAACCACGTTAAAATGAAAGAATATTAAGAGAATTCAAAAAATATTCAATATTAATCTTCATCTCATAATCCAAATAAAACCTTTCTTTTTTAAACAAAATAAATCTCATAATATTAGTTATCTTATGCGTCTTATTTTATCAATCAAATATATTTTTTTCTTTAACTAAATATATATTTTAATTAATTAAACTCTTTTACCATCTATTTGACTTATAAAACCAATAATTTTAATCAATTTTTTCTGTTATTTTTTCTTCTTCTTCTTTTTTATAACATGCATTAATGTCACTCATATTAAGAACGTTTTATTATCTTTACATCAGTTTTGGTTTTAAGTTATATTAATTATTGTTTATAATACATTTAATACATTTTTAAAATATAAAATTACTATGCCATTAAAATTATATAACAAAAAATTATTAATTTGTAAGTTAATGTAATTTACTCTGTAAATCCTAACTAAAACTTTATAACATACACACCTAAGCCTAGAGGCCCACTGGCATTAGCCAGCTTGCTAGGTGCATTCCCCCTTCCCCTGGGCGGGTTTCGAACCCGCCCCGTGTCAAAATGTTCAAAAAAAAAAAAAAACTTTATAACATACATTTATTTATCCATTGTTTATTGTATTCTATCTATAGTTTATGGGTTACCATTAGGATACAATCAACTTATCTTAAAAAAATTAAATTATTGGAATAGTGGCTCTTCATTTTCAATCATCATCATTATCATTCATTATGGTATTATAATTGTAATTGTAATTATGTTTTTTTAATTAATTTCTCAATAAATCCTAATTAAAACCTTTTAACTATTCTATACCTTGTGTTTCTCCTTTCTTTATTGTCTTCTAGTTATCTTTAGTCTCTAGGTTACTATTAAAATATGAATTTATTCTAAAAAATTAAATTATAGAAATAGTGACTTCATTTTTAATCATGATCATTATCATTCATTTTTTTATTAAAATTTATTTTAATTCCATTCATTATTACTATTAATTTTAAATTATAGGAGTGTGGCTCTTCATTTTCAATCATCACCATCATTCACTAAATCCTAATTAAAATTTTTTAATCATCCTATACTTTTTGTTTTTCCATTCTTTATTGTATTTTCTCAATCTCTAGTCTCTAGGTTATTATTAAAACATGAATTTATCCTAAAAATTAAAAAATTAAAATAAAGTTATAGACATTCATGAATGAATTAATGAATGAATGCAAATATATATCACTAAGGTTTTGTTTGGTTCATTTAGTGCATGATTGCGCATATACATCAAAGCGTATATTTTCACTCTACCATCATTTTTACATTGACAATGAATATAATTTTTTTTAATTAAAATTTCTTTTAATTCCATTCATTATTAGTTAGGTTATAGTTTGTATTTTATTTTCTCATTTAATTAATTTTATTAATTAAAATAAAAATGAAGTAAAACTTTTTCATTTTTGATTATGATATAATAATTGTAATTGTGGTTATATTTTTTTAATTAATTTTTAAATAAATCTTAATTAAAACTTTCTAACCACTCTATATATTTTATTTTTCCATTTTTTATTGTGTTCTATCTATCTCTATTTTTTTCTCATAAAAATATATATAATAAAACACCTTTTCATGTGTCATTCTAATAATATGCAATATATATCATGTATTGTAACATTATGTGTGACAGTTTTCACATTATTGTTATTATTTCGTGCTACGATTAGTTGTATATTAAGAGTTAATCTTGTTTCTCTACAAATACCATTTCAAAATTATACATGTTAACATCTAAATAATTTTAAATTTATAAAATTACATCATCTCTTATTCAATGCTTCTTCTCAAGGTAGCTATTTTAGTAATATTGTTACCCATATAAATCTCTATAGATTAAGAGTTTGATAATAAAACTCCTAATATAAAAAATGGTTATTTAAAAATTAAGATAAATAATTTGTGTTTTTAAAATAAAAAAACTATAAACTTTATGATATACTTTCCTCTATTATCCTTAATAATCATAGATGTAAAATAACAACTTCCACATTTGAATTATTAGTAAATTCAATTTATTCAAATTGATTCACCATGGAAAACCAAAGTGTTATGCTTAAGTGGTTTTTGCTTTTGTGGTTTTGCTTTTGTGGTTTTGCTTTAATAAATATAAAACAATATCAAATAACTATCTACAATTAATTAGTCAAATATTGTATTTTATTCAATTGAAGAGAAATGAAATTCAAATAAATTTCATGCAATAACTTCAATATAATTTATCTTTGATCTTCTATATGTAACTCCATGCAGGTAACATCACTACTATTTGCTTGTCTTTCTTATGAAGTCCCAATCCTGACTAAACTCAAATAACATTTAAATTTTTAATAAAAGTATTTTCAATAAAACTGAGTCACATATTCATGTAATAAAATTATTTTAAGATAAAAAAACGAGTACCACAAAAGCATTTCTTCTTTTTCTCGAATATGTTCTCATAATCAGTGAATTCAAATATAAATCTCAGGATTGCTACAACTTTTCATTCAATTTCTTGACAATAAAATCAAGATGGAATTGAGTCCTGTAATTGTTATAAGAGATAACATAATATGTGTCTTTATTTTT